CCCCCTCCCCCTCCCCCCTCCATTGATCTGCAGGCTTCTTGTTCTCTGCTTCACTGGCTGCAGATAACGAACCTAAATGGCATTTCCAGGACTCGCTGTCCTCTTCTGATTTCCATGCTCTCGCTTTGGCCTTTAGTTTATCCCTTATAAATTGGGTGTTTCTAGGAGACAGCATCTATTTTAAGCAGGTGCCTGACGTCCTATTTCTGGTCCATCATGGCAGGAAGGCAGTCGTCCTCCCTGGGTACAGTATGTCAGATTCCCTTCGATTGGCAGGAAGGTTGGGCGCTCTCCATCGCAGTTGCTTTCAGCAGGACATTAGGCTGAAGCTCCCCTGCCCAGCAGCAGTGCTGAGCTCGATCAGAGGGCTGCTGGGAAGAATTCACTGGAAAGGCAGATTAGACCTTTTGCCAAGCCCAGTATATGACTTCCGGAGCCTGGGAGCATAACGAAATCCTGCTGGGAGCTGTGCTGAGTTAGTGCCTGATACATACAGTTGGTCATTATGTTCCTAGGACCCCAGCGCTTAAGGAAGTGGTCTGGACGCCAGAATGATTACAGAAGACCTATTCAGAATTCATCCAACCCGAGAGCATTTCCTTCCATCACCAGGCGGATGCCAGCTGACAGAAACAATGCAGCTTCTGAGGTAAAGCAATGATCGATATTGGGTGACTCCCAAATGTCTTGTAAATGTGCATGATTTCTTCCTAGATTGCCCCCCACCTATGGAGGGCAGGGACTAGACTGGGGCTTAGCATCTTTCTGACCCCAGCCATGCCCAAGGCAGTCCCAGCAAACAATTAGATGCTTGCTTATTGATTTTACTTCTGTACCTTTTTTTTTTTTTTTTTGGTTACATTTGCCATTTGCTCTTCGGGCACTGCTAAAAATAGAAATCAGGAAGTCTAGCTAAATGCTGCACTTTTGATGGGGGCCCTGTGAAGCCATTTTATGTTTCCTATTGCTCTGCTGGCTTAGGTCTTCAGTTGTGTTCTAAGACCCATTTTGGCAGGCTTCTCAGTGAAATAGATTTCATGTGTGGCCCTGCTTCACTAGGGCCAACAAGTGAGAGAGATTTCCGAGTGATGGATAACTGGGCAGCTCCTTCAGTCCTGATGTCATAGGGTGAGCCCACCTCCAGGCAAGAATTCACAAGGAGTCCCAAGGCAGACTCTGAATCTCCAAATTGAGTGAAACCTCAGAGGTCAGCCGGCCCTGAACAAGAACAAGAATTCCCTTTACAAGATGATGATGACGATGATGACGATGATGATGATGAATGATGATGATAGCTAATATTTTTATAACGCGTGAAGGTTTGCAAAGCGCTTTACCTATATAATCTCATTTGCTTTTCAACAAGGGCTTATCCATCATTCAAAGGCTGCTAGTAAAGGCCTCTTGGCCTCTTCAGGAAGCCTGTTCCACTTGGGACAAAACCATTTCCTCTCAGTGAGGTGAATTTGGCCTCTCTTTTCAGCTGCCCTCCGTGGCTGCTCCTGGGCCTGGCCTCCCCTGAGGCCAGGCACAACAAAAGTAATTCACTCCTCTTCTACCTGGCGGCCTGTCAGCTGCTTGATGACATCTTTACACATTTTTCAAGTTGGTGGTTATCTGATAACTCCAATTTCTGAGATTCTTTTTATAGAAGAACTTTTCCAAGCAAGTATGTTGAATTGCAGCACTATCAGGAAGGTTGAGCATAATTATTTCACAAAAAAAAAAAAATTGAATAAGTACTTAAAGTTTCCAATCATTTTTAAGTCTAACAAATTAGCTTTATGTTTTTCCAGATTTTTTTCCCCTGAAAATCAGTAGAACACTGTTTGATTGATGGTTTGGGGGCTTTGGGGCTTTAGAGGGCAGTAGAGAGGAGGGGTGCTGCGGGGTCAGAAGACACAAAGTCTTGTCTCTGCCACATGCTGACTGTGTGACCCTGAACGAGTCACTTCATCTCAGAGTGCTCGCAGAGGGGATACAGACCCACCTTGCTAGAGAGTGTTTCCTCATCTGGACTTGGAGTCAGAAGAACATGAGTCAAATCCAGCCTCAGACATTTACAAGCTGTGTGACACTGGGCAAATGACTCAACCTTTCTCTTCCTCAGTTTCTTCTTCTGTAAAATGAGGATAATAATAGTAGCACCTACCTGACAGGGTTGTTGTGAAGATCATATGAGGTAATACACGTAAAGTGATTTGCAAACCTTAAAGTGATATGTAAATGCTATGATGATGATGATGATGATGATGATGATGATTGATGATGCTTACAAGCTGTATTGCTTTGGGTTAGCCCAGATAACCTCAAACTCCCTCCTGATTTTCTATTCCTTGAGAGAGATATCAGGGCCTGAGAACAGCACTCACAATGGGATTCTGGCATTTAACCAGATTCACAAAGGTGTACTAGTTTATACTCTATCTATATTTTTAATTTTACTAAAATTTGATACATATAGTGATGTGTGTGCCAAAGCTTCAAAGCACTGGATACACTTTCTGTCTTTGTTCTTCAAAAATGAGTTCAGTAGAAGTGACTCCTTGGTATCATCACAAGCACAGACAAATCAGGGGCTTGGGGATCCAAATAAAGCCACGCCCAAGTGAAATCGTTTTGTCGAATGGGGTTTCTTTACAGGATAATGGCAACAGCAAATCAACAGCTCGGCAGTTCAAGAACCAAAACAACCGGCCTGAGAGATTGGGGAGACAGCTGACGCTCGGACCAGCGAGCAAATCATTGCCGAGTGATGCCAGAAGGTAAAAATAGAGTCTGGTAGATTTCAAAAGCGTTCTCCATGGTCCTTTAGTGACAGCTGGATCAAAGTGGCAATTCCATGGCAGCAAGATGCCTCTTTCTGTCATTGAGTAGACTAGAAGCAGCATGGTGGTGGTGGAGAGGGCTGACCTTGGCATGTGGAACACTTGGGTTCTCAGGTCTTGCCTCAAACCCATGGGCAAGTCGTGACACATCTCAGTGAGTCCAGCAACTTGTGTGTAACCATGAGCAAGTCCCTGCCCCTCCCCAGGCTTCGGTTTTCTTGGCTTTAAAATGACATGGGTGAACTAGCGGACCTCTAAGCTGGCCACCAGCCCCAGCTCTAGGAGCCTCTGATAAGTCTTAGGTCTAATAGAGCTGTTTGCAAATGGCAGTTGCTACAATGCAGAAATCATAGACTGGACTCGACAGAAATAATTTCTACATTACTCTATACTAGAGTCAACATAGATTGGGGGTCAGGATAGACACTGCTCCCCGCAGAGCTGTTTGTCCTTAATGGTCAGATTTGCCCTCCTTTCCAACATGAGAAATTTTAAGGGATTAAGGCTATTATGAAAGACAGGCTGCTTTATAAGCCATGCTTTGGGAAAGGATTCTGCAGTTGCCTCTCTAAACTTGCTCTCTCAAGGGCAGCTAGAAGGAGGAGAGACCAGATTTTGGGGTTTCTTCTTACCAGTTGACACTATTCTGCCCAAGTTGGAAGTAGTGTTTTTTTCTTGGGCTCTCTCATAACATTGTTTGAGTATCTCTCTTCTATGCTTATTCGTGTTTTATTTTCTGTTATAGTTATTTGTGTATGTCTCTTCTTTTCTGTACTAAAATGTAAGCTCCTTGAGGGCAGGAAAGGTCTAAAATTTATTTTTGTATCTTCTTTAGCAAGATAGCACCAGGCCTTGGACATAGTAGGTACCTAAACATTGATTGTCCTAGTTGGTCCTTGAAAAGTAGATTGGCCCACCCCCACCCCCAGGCCTTGGAGTCTCATTATTAAACTCTCCTTAACAGTCCCCCCTGTACCGGGGCTGGCTATTAGGTAAAGTTTGTCTTTGGAGCTGCATTTCTTCCTTTGCCTTTTGGGCACGCTTGCCCTTCTCCCCTCTTCAAGTTTTGAAGGCCTGCTCCTGCCTTAGCCCAAGGGCCTGACTCTAAGAACTGAAAAACAGTCATCCAGATAATTCATTTTAGCTCCCTTCCCGCCCCCCACCTCCCTCAAAGGAAAAATCACTTAGGAAGACCAAATAATTTAATAAAATTTGAATTTTGGTCTGAATTTCCTAAATGGTGCTCATTGCCTATGAATATGAAAAAATCCAATTTGCCTTTCCCTCCTTTACATTCTTTTTTGTCCTTTTGGTGTGGTCTGGGAGTCAAGAGACCTGAGTTCTAATTCTAGACATGTGGACTTGATCAAAAGATCTGGCCTCAGTTTCCTCATCTATGAAGTAAAAGTCAGAGGGCTGAAATAAGATGACCCCCCCAACCTCCCTTCTAGTTGGAACATTTCATAATTCTCTAATGGTATCTCCTCAACCTAGCTGAATACCATTTGTGTGGTTAAAAAATTATTTCAACATTTCAAGGATCTATTACATTATCAGTACAGGTACTCCTTCCACTAATGGAGATTACAACCCTCCTTTGACTTAGTAGCACAGGGTTTCTTAACCTTTTTTTTTTTTTTTTTTTTTTTTGGTGTCACGGACACCATCCGTGATGTCTGGTGAAGCCTCTGCACTCCTTCTCAGAAGCAGGTCTTAAATGCAGTTGATCTTTAAGAAATGCTGGGGCCTAAAAGGTCATCCCCCTGTGGCCAGCCTGGTACTATGTTTCTCTGAGCTTAGCCTGGCCAGTCCTCAGGCATCAGGCACATGGTCTTCCCCATTGCTCTGCTGATCCTCTGCCCTTTCCACCTTGGCCAAGAGCGACAACCAGAGCTGTCGGATGCTGCCACAGCCTTGGAGAGCCCAGGCTCATCTCCACACCAGGAATAAGGATTTGAGGAAGACTTTAATAGTAGGTTAAAGAATAAATATTACTGTACTGGAGAACTCATAGGGAACCCAAAGTTAAGAGAGCTAAGGACCTGGCAAGGGGGCTCCCTCATCACTCTAATGAGCTCAGGGAGAGGGGAACCTTTGCTTAGGACTTGGAGGGCATTTCCCTTTTAAGTCCTCCAAATGCTCATGAATAATACATCGAGTGGAAAACACAGACAACTTACTGATTCAGGGTTCCCAAACAAAATAGCTACTTCAGGCCAACTTCCCACCGGCAGTGAGAGACAAAGCAGGACATTGAGACTGCCCAGGGAGAAACACAAGCAGATACTGCCACCACTGAGCCAGTGTGGGCTCTCGGGAGAGCTGGAGAAACATTCCCAGGGAGATTGTGAACTGATATGGAACTTTGCATATGTGTCTGTCTGTCTCCTCCCACTCTCCTCTCCCCCTTCCCCTCCCCTCTCTTCTCCTGTCCTCTCCTTTCCTCTTCTCCATATGAAGTTACCTCTGGAATATTAGCTTCAGAAACACAAATGTCAAAAACCATAGCAAGCATCACAGTGACCCTTCCAGAGCATCTTTGAATTTATACAACCTGACCCATGGCAAGATCTCAGTCTGGGAGTGAGTCCCTTGGAAAAACTCTAGGTCAAACAAGTCTTGGGGCCTAGAACCTCTAATATGCTCCGTCCCCTTGGAGATAGAGGCCTAGACAGACAGTTGTCAGAGTTGTTGACTCCCCAACACTGCCACCCAGATTCTTCCCTTCCCTCCTTATCCCCTTTTTGTTTCCTCAGCTCTTCAGAGGCCTCCAGCCCAGTTGTCTTTGGTGAAACGTTGGCTGACAGGTATGAGTTTCACTTCTGGCTGGACAGCAGCTGTTTCTTCATCACTTCTCATTCATTCATGGTAGAAAGTATACATGCCTTCAGTGGTGTTGAGTTCTGGTTCAGTCTGGTTGTTGGGAAAACCTGATTTCTTTTAACAAAAAAAAATTCCAAGTTAGGTTTCCTTAGGCTTCGTGATAAACAGTCAGGAAGCCTTCATGTCTGTTGAGACGGCCACATTTGCACCCCCAACAAAGGGTTCATTTGCTCACATGGGCCTCTCTGGCTTTCTCTTATCGGCTTTTGGGGGCAATTTTAAATCACGTGGTCAGACTCAGGCTGAAAACATCCATTCTGCATAACTCATTACAAAGTCATCATTTCATTTCCTACAAGATGTCTGTGTTTACTATTAACATCAAGTCTTTTGTACCAAACAGAGCAACCAAGCAGAAGCAGCGAAGGGACCATATAGTGAACCAGAACCGGGGGGTGAGTGTCCCAAGCCACAATCTGGGTTTCATTTTAGAGTTCGTTTTAGCTTTAGTGGGCCTGGTTTCTTCAAGTAGCCAGTTTCTGCATCATTTATTTTTGACACAAATAATATTTCCTTAAAATCTGCCTCCTGGCATCAATATGGGAAGAAGCCCTAAAAATCTCAGTTCTGCTACCGATGAACTGTGTGACCTTGACCAAATTGCCTCATCTGTAAAGAAGAGGGCTGGCCCAGGTTCCTGATTCTGTGGTTCCTGCCAGTTCTGAATCCACGAGCCTAATATTGGTATGCATCCCAGTACAGCAAATGTTTTCCATCATCCAGTATGGATTTGCCTCCAAATGGTTCCTTTTCCACCAAGGCCCCGTGTTACTTGGCTAATAGTCATCGAAATGGAGGGAAAAAGAATGACTGAGACCAAATCAGGACCGGATGACCATGCCTAGACTGGGCCTGGGCCCAGGGCTAGGAGCAGTGAGGCCCTGAGTCACACTTAGGCTCCATTTCTGCAATAATTTTCTAACCATGAGAGCCAGCTGGCCCCCAAATGGGCTGGGACCCCTCCTTCACTAGAGGGCATAGGAGGCCCACTTGTCAGGGATGTTGTAAAAGGGAGTGTTGGGCAGCTACAGACTGGATGAGATCGCCTCCAAGGCTCCTTCTGACTCAGAAGTCTGATCTTTCCTTCAGATACCACCACACAAAGTACGGACATCTGAGGGGAAGTCTCCAAGCAACAGCAGGTAACTGTGGGCCAGAGTGGGGTTTATCTGATTCGTGGCTGGGGTGGGGGTGGCAAGCCGGGACTAAATGAGTGTGTGTGTAGCTTTTCTGGCAGGTACCAAGTCCAGAGCAAACCCGGATCGATCCTCACAGTTTCTGTTCCCAATCCAAATCATCAGGCAGGCCAAAATAAGCTGTAAGTAAACAGTTCCCACCTTTTGTATTTCAGCCACTGGGGTGTGTGTGTGTGTGTGTGTGTGTGTGTGTTGATCTTCGATGTGCAGCCACCTACATCTCCCCTTCACCCCCTCCTCCTTTTTGATTTTCATATGGTCATAGGTTCAGGGGCATCTCAGGGGATTCATTTGAGTCCATTTTCTCCACTTCAGGGAATGTTGATGCTCAAAATGACTCTTCCCCACCTCCAACTCCCTCTAGGTGATCCAGCTTCCTCTAGGTAGAGGTGGAGGGAGTGGGAGGACAGCTGCATGGTATACCCCAGCCCTGCTGATCGGGTGAAGGAAGGAAAGGGCTACCTGAAAAAGTCCTATGGAAAAACTACATTTCTTTGCTGATGCCTCTGCCCTCCACCTCCCCGCTGCCCACTCCCAGCCCAAATCAGACTCATCTGCTGGGGTCTAGTTGGATGTGATGTTTAGTGGGCCCAGATTCGTGAATTAGCTTCTTAGATGTCTACAACTGGAAGGGACCTTAGAGACGGTCTGATGAGAGCCCTTCATTTTAGAGAAGACACTCCAGCCCAGAGAGGGGAAGTGATGTGCCTCAGGCTGCATAATCACTTACTCAGCCAGTACTGAAACATCTCAACTCCGGTTACTGTTGGGGGCATGGAGATGCTTTCTCTGAAAGGGAGCAGCACTGATTTAGAACGTGTCAAGTTTCATTTGCAGCTTTCCATGTGTATTCTTAATTGACAGGTTCAGAAGAACCAACGGGGAAACTTCATTTCAAAGAGATAAATGGAACTCGCCTAAAACTGAGAAATTTCAGCCCAAAGGGATCTCCCTGAGATACAATTTCCGGGCTGTTGCCAATCAGGTATGGTCAACAAAATTACCCACTGAGATTGTTTACAAGGTGCCAAGTAAAAATTCCATGTTCATTTCAGGCTCTGCTTGGACTATACAAGGTCTGCTTGTACTGAATAATACAGCAAAGCCTCAGTTAACCAGAATCTCCAGTTAACTAGATTTTTGTCTTGCATTTCCCTTTTCTGAGGAGACGTGAAGGAGATGTGGATTTCAAGTATTTTTTAAACTGCAAAGCATTGTGTGACCTCCAGCTGATGCAGTTATCATAAAGAGCCCAGGGAGCCTGCCTTTGTGGCATTTGCAGTAGAATATGAAAGCCAGGACCTAGGCTAAGTGCTTCACAAATATGATCTCATTTAATCCTCACAGTAGGTGCTCTTGTTATCCTCATTTTACAGACAAGGAAATTGAGGCAGACAGAGGTGAAGTGACTTGTCCAGGGTCACACAGCGAGTCAGTATCTGAGGCCACATTTGAACTCGGGTCTTCTTGACTCCAGGCCCTGCACTCTGTGCCCTGTGGTGGCCCCTAGCTGCCTGTTCTAGCTGGGGAGATAAGATCTACCCCTCTGATACCCAATAGGCCACAAGTCTCAGGAATGGTTCAGACAGTTCATGGAGTTTGAGGAGGGAAGAGAGCACTGACCTCTGAGGCTGTCAGGGAGGGTCTCATGAATGACCTGAGCTTTGAAGAAAGAGTAGTAGATGGGTGGAACAATACCAGCAAAGGTGTGGAGGTTAGCAGGCATGTTTGAGGGCCCAGCCTGGCTGGAAGTGAGGGTCCATGATGGGGTGCAATGTAGGACATAGGGTTAGGCAAAGGGCCAAAACTAAAGAATTTAGACTTGAACTTAATATAAGTACTGGGGAGCCATGGAAAATTCTTGAGGGGCTCGAAGAATGTGATGCGTGTGTGTGTGTGTGTGTGTGTGTGTGTGTGTGTGTGTGTGTGTGGATGTGTGGATGTTCCCAGAATGCTCTGCTTCATTTTAAAGTTCCAAGAGGAAGCCGAAGGGATGGTTGGATTCATAGCTCTGCAAAATATTGGAGTACTCCCACTTGAAGAAAAAACATCTCCGCGGCTACTGGATTCATTTTCTAGCAGACAAAGGAAGGCTTCTCTTATTCAAGTCATTCAAATGACTTTGTAGGCAGTGGTTTGCTGAGCACCCAGGTTTAGTAGGGAGCAAACATACAAAACTGTGCTCCAAGGCCTGCTTTGCTGGTGGCATGAAGGCATCATTGCTCCGGCTACACTCCCAGCCTTGGAAGGTTTGGGAAAGTTGCAGCTCTCCCGTTCTCCTTAGCTTCGTTTTTCTTTAAGCTGCATCTGAAAAGATGGAGGTGTTTTCAAATAGGGGAGGGCATGCAGTAAACAGAGTTGGAATCTCCAAAACTATGTGGAATTCCACTCTCGTCTTGAAGAAATCTCCTACCCATGTTGCTCTTCTGCTGCTCCTTGACTAGGGGAGGGAGGAGCTTAGGAGATGAAGCACCTTGAGTTCCTTGGCAAGAGGTAAAGCGATGACCATAGGAAAGGACAGGAAAGGAGAGGGAGAGGTCATCCCCCTGCCTCTTAACCCTAGACTCCCTCCATGTCTTCCAAAACTCTTCTCTTTCATGGCCTGGTCACTGCCCTCTACCCCCTCTCTCCTTCTGCTTAGGTGGCCGGGTTCTGTGGGCATTTGGGTAGTGTTTACAACTGTTAAATCACAAGGACTAATAAAAGACATTTCTCTTTCTCCTCCACAGACTAAAATTACCCTCAATGAGAGATTCTCTGGCCTGCAGATGATCAAAAGGGATTTCACAATTACCAGACCTGGGAACAGAACCGTCACACTGCCTTAAATGTTCACAGCTATGATAATACAGACTTAGTAGTTGCTTAATGCATTTTTTGCCAGAGATAGTGATTTTTCTTCAAATAGTTTGCTAACAGAGACTTTCCACTTTATGCTACAGTCTCAGTAATCCTGTGCATACATACACCCCGAGGAACAAAATCCCTCTGGGCTCTTTCTCTTCATGTTCCTTTACTAGCAAAGTTGGCAGGTGACATAGTAGACAGAAGGGGTGAAACATCTCCATGGTTTCTTACAGTCACACCGTTGTTCTTTCCTCTTTGGGTGCCCTTAGTAGTGGAGGGTTCATCCATTCCCAGTTCACTTGTTCATTAAAACTGAGGAATCCATTTCAGATCCTGCTCTACCATTAGAGTAAACTAGTCCACAGTCACTCAGTCCGGCTGAACTTGACATTTCCAATGAAACATCTGGGACAGACCATTTGGCATTTCTTTAGACATTAAGTGGCACTGGACCTTAACATGGCTTTGTAGAGATTTATAGGTAGTTGCATTCTAAGATGGAGCACTGTCTACTATGTGTACACAAATTAAATAAAGACTATGGAAACCAGGCCTTGAGTCCATTTCCATGTTCATGGGTATGTGGGCCTGTTCTTCTCTAAGGGGCACCCTCAGCTGTGAGTTTCAAGGGCTGCTAGCACCTTTCAATTGTTGGCAGAGTGAGTTCAAATGGACACCAGAAAATGTCAGGTTTGGGCCGCTGGGCAGAGGAGCTTCTCCTGGGGGCTGCATGGCACTGCTTTGCAAGGCTCTCCTACTTGCAAGTTCATCCAGGGATGGAGAACAGAATACAGAGACGCACACAAGGTGGGCTTTATTCTGACTTGCACATCACCATTTTCCATTCAATTAGAATCATCGAATATTGGAGCAAGAAGGGACTTTAAAATCAACTAGTGCAAGCTCTGAGCCTCAGTCTGCCCATCTGTTACGTAACAGGTTAGCCTACATGACCTCAGAGGTCCATTCCAGCTCTAACAGTTTAGGATTCAATGAAACTGCATTGATGATTGCGTCAACATATCTGGCATCTATCACACACCAGCCAAATGGGCTTGTGGCATTCCCATACTTCATGAACAAGCAGAGCAAATGCTGGCCAATGCTACACCAGTGGACCATGGGTAACTGCAGAAACCACTGAAAACAGACTGTGCAACCTGGTAATCAGTCATCGTAGGAGTGCTTTTGTGGTTGAGTTGTTTCTGTCATGCCCAACTCTTCATGACCCCAGTTTGGGGTTTTCTTGGCACAGGTTTTGAAGCGTTTGACCATTTCCTCCTCTGGCTCATTTTACAGAGGAGGAAACTGAGGCAAAAAGGGTTAAGTGATTTGCCCAGGGTCACACAGTT